ATTTCAAATATCTCCAAAAGGGATTCTACCTTCATACCCCACCCAACCCACTCTCAGTGGCTTCAAGGAAATTTAGTCTCTTTATGGTGACTAACTGCATTTCTGCAATCTCTTTTGGTAGGAAAGAAAACCACAGCAAATATACAAGTTTAATCCCTAGCAGAGCATCCCATTACATATCCATGAAATTTAACACATATTTTTGGCACTTGACTATGTTTTGACTCTTTTGCTTGGAGCAGGGGACACGGTGATGAATCAAATGTATTACCTTGATCTGGAGGGGTTCACAGTCTAATAAGCAAGAAGGACAGATAAACAAGCAAATGACAATGAAATGTGAAATGTGCATTGAATGAGAAGTGGTAAAGACACAACCCTCTAAGTGTGGCGGGGCTCTGGTGGACAAAAATTTCCTAGAGTTCAACAAGGGGAAGTAAGTGGGGAAAGGTTGTTTTAGACCAAAGGTACACAGCATGGCTACAGTCTTGATATATACTGGGTCATAGAGTGGGAGCAGTGGGGAGAAGACAGGACGACAGTAGAAGGGTCATAGCCTGGACAGCAAAGGGCTTTGGAAGTCAGGTTAAGAAGAGGCTTTAACCAGAAGGTGGTGCAACTTTTGAAGGGGTCTGAGCAAGGGGGTGGAATAAACAGTGATGTTTTAGAAAGCTGGGACCTTTGATGTTCTTTGTGCTGGAAAAGGTGACATTGGAGCTGGAAGGCCCTCCAGGAAGCTATGACAGTTGCCTGGAGAAGGACAACCAAAAGACCAATCTTATTAGTACTGTGAAGATAATAAAATCAGTGAAGCTTTGAGGAAGGGGTTTATGTATTTTTTTGGTCATACAGACCAGAACATCTCAATATCAAAAATAACAGACTTGATGTCAGCCCCTGAGTATAATTTTTAGTGTAAAAATACAGTCATTGTAAGTAGAAATATGAAATTTATGACCTCAGTGACATTCTGTACAGGTGGCCCTAAGCATCTTAATCAAATACGGAGTGTTTACTTAAAGTTTACGATTCCTAAAACACTGTCAGACGTTTTAGAGCTGGAAGGGCTCCTTCCTTTGTATTCCCAGAGCCTCCTGTATGTATTACTTCATAGCATTTGAACCACATTAATTGTAATTGTGTGTGTCTTCACCATTAAACTGTGAGTCCTTTGAAGTTAGCAACTGGGTCCTGTTCATCTCCTTCCTTAGCATCTAGACAGCATGTGGTATGTGGTAGAAAGTTCAAGGAATGTTTATTGAACTTAATTAAACCTTCAAAAATGTATCTTCCACATTCTCATTTTACAGAAGGAGAAATTGAGGCTTAAAGTGAGGAATAACTCAGTAATTTGAACCATGCAAGCTCAAATAGGAAAGTAACAATAGAGTCAGGAATAAATCCTAGTTTATTTTGATTGCTTAACATTTTTGTGGCTATTTTCTCCTCCTGCCCAGCTTGGTTTGTTAGCTAATTAGCCAGAAGTTGGAAGCATTTACAAGTAGTGGAAATGCAAACCTTCTTTGTTATGAAAACCAATGGCCGTGCAAATGTAGCCCTTACCCCTTGTATTAAGTACAGGAGTTGTTTCTTAAATCCCTTCGCTTGAAAGCCAGGAGTCAACAATGCCTCCAGTGTAAGGTTTCATTTCCCTCTGAGAGCACACACACACTCAATACAAACACACACACGCACACACACATGCACACAACACAGAAGCACGTGATCCAAGCAGAGCAGCTGAAAAGGATGTTTTGGATGAAGTCTTGGCATTTATTGTTCCTTTGTGACCCGGGAAAGTCAAGGGTGCCAGGATTCAGATGGACTTCAGTTCAAGTCCCTACCTCTCCATGCTCATTTGTGAATGCAGGAGGACACCCATCTCAAAGGGTAATTTTAGGATTAAATGCAAGAATAGAGTAGTTACATCACAAAGTTTTTCTAGCCTTTCTGAGCCACTGTATTTGTATCTGTACAATGGATTAGATTAGATGGTTTACAGAGTCCCTTGAAGCTGGAACATTCTATGATTCTTCTCCTCTGGGATCTCACTGCATTAAAAATGGGGTGTTGAAGGATGAAGACATAGGCAAGAGTGATTCTGCCCTGACACAATGCTGGCTTCTGCTGCTTTTCAAGGGCTTCCTGTTTGATGCAAGCTTTTTATCAGGGTATGTTTGTACTCTGTCCAGGGTTTGCCTGGCCATTGCACCAGTCCCCATTCTGTTCCTGAGGGTTTGGGAAAGAGCCAGTGGATGTGGAGACGCACAGGCAGGATTTCTTCCCAAGAGTTGCTTGGATGGTGAAACTCACAAAGTCCAGAGAGATTTCCTGTTTTGTTTTCCACAAGCTCAAGTGACTATCGATTACAAAACACACACATGCGGGTGCGCGCACACACATACGCACATGCAAAAACAAAAACACACACAAACAAAACAGGATGTTCTCTCTCCTCCCCTTGCTAGAGTCCAAGGCACTCTCGTAACCATCTGTGTCACTTTCACCCATGGCCTTGGATTTCACCATTATGGTAATTAAGCCCTTAGTGCTGGCTGGAGATGTTACAGAAGCCTAAACCATGAGCAGTTGTGCACATTAATTTCAGGAAGGAGAAACTTGCAAATGGCAGGAGAAAAAGATCTTTCAATCAGAGTGACCTCATGCTGTCCCATCTGGTTTCTGTCCCCATGAGAGTCTCCCCTCTGCTCCTGGTAGGAGAACAGACGTTTGTCCCAACTTAGGTTTTGACTCGTAGTAGGAGCAGTGATATTGCTATGCGCCAGACCCTTGACAGCAGACTTTCTGTGCAGACACTGAGAGGGATATACCTATAATTTTCAAAACAGTTGTTGTTTATCTAAAATTTGAATTTAACTGAGCATCCTGCATTTTTATTTTGTGAATCCAACAACCCTGCTTGGGGTTAACCCCTCTGCCCTGCACTGTTAAACAGAATAAAGACCTGTGCTTGGGGCTCACCAAGGATTGGATTGGGATTCTGCTTCCACCACTTCTTCACTGTGTGATCCTAGGAAAAATTGTCTTACCACTCTTATTCCTAGTTCTTGTGCCTGTAAATAAGAATCATAACATCTGTATCTCTGGACTGTTAATCAGGATATTTTTAATGCCCTTAAAGCACCTCATGTTGTATGATTAGGTGCTTCGTGAACATTAGCATTTACTGTAATTCTTTTTTGTTTTATTTACTCATTTATTTATTACTTTTAATTCAGGAGAAATTAGTAATTTGTTCATCCCTAGGAGAAGATATGGGTAAGAAGGTATGTCAAGAATAAATGGAACCGCCTCTTCAGAGGCCCTGAGAGAAATGCAGGAAGGCTTACACAATAGCATGCTTGACACACACCTTCTTCGGGATCCGTGTTCTGGGTAGCTAGGAGGCAGACCCTGGAGCCACTTTACACAAACATGCTGAGCATGAATCTCTTGGACAGTGTAGGGTGGAAAAACGTGACACCTAGTAATCACATATCCTTGGTTATAGGCACTAGAAATCTTTCTTTTAAAAAAGTACATCGAAAGTAGAAAACATGAAAGAAAAGGAAAGAAAGCACATACTCTCTGGAATCCCTATGTTTAAAAAAGAGTTGTCACACAGTCTGAATTCCCAGTGCCTTGAAATGTCAGTGTAAATGGAGAGACTGAAGCGTAAAGTACATCAGCGCCTCAGCCTGAGCCTAATGGTCGGTTTTTCAGTGTCCGTTCATTTATTCAGTAAATATTGACTGAAGGACTGTGCTCAGTCCTGGGAGAATGCTCAAGTGAACAAGGCCTGGCCTGCCCTGGGTGGGATCAGCATGTGTTAGGTGAGACAGGCAAGGGATGTGGTGGGAGGTGTGGTCTAGTGTTTAATAGCATCCAGAAGAGGTGCACATGATTCCAGGCTTAGGAAAGGCAAGGTGGGGTTCCCAGAGGAAGGACTGTTGCATTTGAGACCAAAAGAGTAAATTGAAATACCAGGGAGGGAAATAGTCCAGCAGAGAGGGAAAAAAAAAGGAAAAATTCTCATTGAATTGAAGCACAGTGCAGTTATATAGAATGTTGATCATCGTTTGGAGAAGAGGTCAGAAAACTATGGCCCTCAGACTAAATTTAGCCTGCTGCCTACCTTTGTAAATAACGTCTTACCAGAACATAATCATGCATGTTCATGTAGAGTATCATCCATGTCCCTTCCATGCTATAAAGGAAGAGTTAAACTGTGGCAGACACTGCCTGGGCACAAAGCCAAATCTGTTTACTATCTAGTCCCTTATAGAAGCAACTGGCTGTCTCCTGATTTGGAGCACATTTTTCATTAGCAGGGATTCACTGTTGATGGGAATACTAGTGGTTGCATATGAGGGTGGATGTTAGCGTGCAGAGGAAAATGAGAAGAGTGGGGAGAAGTGATACTGGGGAGGTGGTTCAGAGCTAGAGCAAAGAGTTTAGATTTTATCCTGAGGGCTGGGGGAGCCTCTGAAGGGGTGGAAGCATGTTGTTGAGATGGTCAGACTTCTACAAGAGCAGAGCAGCGGGGTGTTGAAGAGAGCAGGGTCTGGAGCCAGACTGCCTTGAAACAGATTCCAACTCCATCACTTACTATGGACTTCAGGCATATTACTTACCTTCTGTGCACCTCAGTTTTCCAATTTGTAAAATGGTAAATAATGAGAATAGTTATTATAATATTTATCATGTACAGTGGTAAAGATGGTATAAGTTAATATAGGTAGAATGTCAGGCCCACAGGAGGTTCCGAATGGATGCTTTTACTATCCTGTCTTGATGGTCATTCTGGCTGCTGGGTAGAGAATGGCTCAGAATGTGAGAACCTGGTGGTAGTGTATGAGTGCTTTTGGCAAGTGATGGCATCCTGTGCGTGGGAGGGCAGCTCTGAGGCTTGGGACAGCTACCACCACGGTCACTGCGACCTTCACTCTCAATCTCCCCACCATTGTCATCATCATCTCTTCTGTCATGCTGTGTTCCAGGCCTTCAAGAGCGCTCTGATGAGCTCCTACTGGTGCTCAGGGAAAGGGGACGTGATCGATGACTGGTGCAGGTGTGACCTCAACGCCTTTGATGCCAGTGGGCTCCCCAACTGCAGCCCCCTCCCACAGCCAGTGTACGTATGTATGGCCCCTCTCCCTTTTGCAGCCCCCTTCATGGACTCACTCTCCTGTCCTGCTAGTCCAGACCATGGCTCACTTCTGTTCCCAGGGTTTCTCATCAGATCCATAAAGTCTCTGGGGCCTGCCTCCCTTTTCCAGCAAGCAGGGAGCCTTGGCAGGACAACAGACACTGGCCCAGGGGCCGGCACTGATATCGTAGCACGTGCTTTTTTAAACGATGCCCCTTGGTTCATCATGACGTCCTTCACTCATCCATTTGGTAAAAGTTTACTGGGCACTGGGCACTGACTCCTGCTTCGTCAGTCTCTGCTTTGGACATCAGGGCTTCCTGAGATAAAGAAAGTGTCGAACCTTTTCTAAGGAACTTCATTTTATTCATTCATTGAGCAAATGATTTTTGAACACCTGCCGTGGGTCACACACTGGGGAATTATATCACTGAAGAAGACAGGCACAGTTTGTGTCCTTAGGGAGCTGACCGTTTCATGAGGAGACAGGTGTCAAAGCCAGAACAGGAAATAGGGTGCAGTCTTAAACTTTAAATAATAAAAATATGAAAGAAAAACCAAGAGGGGCTAATGGAGAGAATAATGGAGGAAAGCTTTGCTTGGAAGGGAGGGAGTCAGGGAAGCCTCTCTGAAAAGACCTGAATTAGACTAGATTTTGGGGGACAAATGGCAACAATCATGTGTTGGGCAAAAGGAAGAGTGAGTGTGAAAGGCTGACACATGAAAATCACCATTTGAGGGAGTGCAGGAAGGTCACCTTGACGAGAGGAGTGTGATTAACAGGGAGAGTGGTGTGTGCCATGGGAGTCCCTCTAACACCCTTCTGTGGTGGGGGCGGGGAGGAATCACATTATAGGGTAGTCCTTAAGGGACGGCATGATTAGTGGAAAGAGAAGGAATCTGGACTAGGGACAAGCAGGGTTATGGTTCTGTCCCTAACTTGCTGTGGGACTTTGTGCAAATCATTTTCTTCTCATCTGTGAAATGAGGGGATTGCACTTCCTGTCTCCAAGGATCCATTGTAACCTCCAATCATTCTGCTATTTCTTGCTTTATAGAAAGGATTCCCCAGAACTCCTGCCCTCTGTGAGGGAGTATTGATTTAAGGATATTAAAAGGATATTAAAGAGTTGACTATGTCAATATGCTGATGTGTTGGGGGTTGGAAGAGAATGGCGGCAAGGTTGAAAGCTGCTGTATTTGAAAGCATTGCCAATTTTCTGATGGTGAAGCACCATTGAGAATATGGTTTAAAACAAATGGAAAGCTAATCAGCTTTCTGTGACCACATATTGCATGCTTAGATTAATTTACAGTATCCCACATTGATCCTGAAAGGTAGTTCTTCTTATCCCCTTTTTATGGAAAAGCAAATAGTAGAAAGAGATACAATAAATTGTCTAAGTCCAAACAAGGGGTTGGTGGTGGGTTGAGTCCTGCTTTTTATAACCTGGCACACGCAGCCTCTTTGGGAGCCCAATAATTGCTGACTGGCAAGCAAACAACCTTCCCTGTCACCCCTCTAGGCTGCGGCTGTCCCCGACAGTGGAACCTTCTAGCACTGTGGTCTCCTTGGAGTGGGTGGATGTTCAGCCGGCTATTGGCACCAAGGTCTCTGACTATATTCTGCAGCACAAGAAAGTGGATGAATACACAGATACAGACCTCTACACAGGTAAGACAGACGGTGGCTTCCCATTTTGTTGGGACAGTGTGACAGAGGAGGGTTTCTAACTACCTTTGGAGACTTGGTGTCATCGGACCTGGGAAGGCATGGGGAGATTTCACTGTTTAGTGATTGCCACCTGGGGCCCACACCTGTGTACTTTTTTGGGGTATAATTTTCAGCAGGGAAAGATAGCAAATAGTAGTTGGAAAGACTTCCTGATTTAGGTTGGATCCTCAAAGTCATATATGAAAGGATTCATTTAATCAGAAGACTCTTTGGTCTTTTCTACTTGGGAAGGCCTACAGGTTATATGTTCAAAGTCCCTGGTCTTTGAATATATTATCTCTGAGACTGAGATAAGGAAATTCAAGGAGTTGCCTTTTCTAGTGAGATGTACTGAGATAGTCTTTAATTCTGGGGAAGAAGGATCTGGAAATGATTCAGGTAAGTAGGAAATCAGAAAAGAGGCTATTAAGAGTGCTACATTTGGTAGTAACTCAGAGCACTCTCACTGAGTTCTAAATGTCTAACACGGCCAAGAAGCTGGGCCATCCTGGAGGCTGGGTCTGTAGGGGCCAGTCTGGCTGTAAGGCAGGCCTGGAACCTGCATCTGTGGAAGCCTGCCTTGAGGCTAAGGCCATGGGGACAGGCCTGATGTTGGGATGTCAGGGGCCTGGGGCCATGGGAGCCGACCAGGTGCTGGGGTAGGTCAAAAGCCTGGGTCTGTGGTAGTCAGCCTAAGCTGTGCCTCACTGGGAGCCTGGTTTCACAGGGTCTGATTGGGAGCCTGGGCAGCAGGGGCCACTTGGAGCCATGGGAGTTGGCAGGTGTCAGAGTGGGTTGGGTTCATAGGAGCCCACAGGGAGCCTAGTGCCATGGCAGCTTCTGAGGACTTGAGCGTTGCTGGGCCCCTGGAACCAGCTGTGGCTGAGGTTAGCCCAGGGTTCTCAGAGTGTGCTAAAAGCCACCTACAGCTATGGGAGTTGGCCTGGTGCTGGGGTGGGGCTGCTTTGGGGTGCCAAGGTAAAGTCAGACACCCATTTCCCTCTCCTTCTTCCACAAGGAGGGTTTCTCTCTCTGTACTGCTTGGTTTGTAAATATATTATCTCTGACCTACCCAGGCTTCAGGGAAGGATCATGGGAAGAATCTATCTTTTCTACTCTCTCAGTGAATCTTTTCTTATTTTGTATTTTGCATCATCCAGGTGCTATAATCTCTCACCTAGAACTCTTAGTTCTCGTGAAGGTGTATTTGAGCATGGATAATTGTTCAAATTTATTTTTGGGGAAGCAGGGAACAAGTAATAGAAATTCCTATGCAGCCATTTTGGTAATATCAGTCTCTGAATGATTACCAACTTTTTTTACAGATCAAATAAGTGAATCCTAGAGAGGTATTGACTTTCCTAAAAGTACCACAATATGGTCCAACCAGACATGAAAACCAGACCCATCTTTCTCCCAACATAGTGCTCATTCTTTATGTAACATCATACTTAATGGTGAAAGACTGAATGCTAGTTTGCTGAGAGATTTCTGTTTTGTTTGGTTTTAATTAGAAATGGATGTTGAATTTTCTGTGTCTATTGTAATGATCATACAGTTTATATTTCTTAGTTCATTAATATGGTAAATTACATTAATGGATTTCCAGATGATAAAACAAGCTTGCATTTCTGAAATAAATAAATCCCACATGGCCATCATGCACTATCTTTTTATCATTGGATTTGATGTGCTAAAATTTTGTTTTATTTTAGAATCTTTGCATCTGTGGTCATGGGAGATTTTGATCTCTAGCTTTCTTATAATGTTTTTGTCTGTTTTGCTATCAGGATAATTCTGGCTTCATAAAATTGCAGAATATTTTATCCTTTTCTGATTTCTGAAAGAGTTTAGATAGATTTAATAATATTTCTTCCTTAATTATTTGGCAGAATTTGCCAGTGAAATAATCTGTGCTTAGAACTTTCTTATAAGAATGTTTAGCTACTAATTTTAATAGACAGAATCACCCTATATCTTTAAAAGAAAAAGTTCAAATCAACAAATTTAGTCACCACCTTAAAAATTCAGAGAAGAGCAAACTAAATCCAAAGTAAGCCAAAGAAAAAAATAACAAAGACCAGAATAGTAATCAGTGAAGTAGAAAACAATGAAAATATGTAAAATCAACACTGATTCTTTGAGAAGAAATATGTTACATACCCCTCTAGCCAGATGGATCACAAAAAAAGAGAGATGAGACGAATTACCAATATCTTTAATAGATATAGGGTTATTCAGGTCATCTATTTCTTCTTGAGTGATCTTTGGTAGCTTATGTGTTTCAAGGAATTTGCCTGTTTCATGTAAATTATAAAACTTACTGGCAAAAAGTTGTTCATAGTATTCTTTTATTATTTTAATATCTATGGAAATTATAATGATATTATATCCTCTTGATATTGGTACTTCGTCTCATCTCTCTTTTTTTCTGATCCATCTGGCTAGAGGGGTATGTAACATATTTATTCTCAAAGAATCAGTTTTGGTTTTACATATTTTCATTGTTGTTTTCTACTGCACTGATTACTATTCTTTGGCTTACTTTGGATTTAGTTTGCTCTTCCCTGAATTTTTAAGGTGGTGACTAAGGTTGTTGATTTGAACTTTTTCTTATGACTATTTCTCCTAACTGCTGGTTTAACTGCTTTTCCCAAGTTTGGTAAGTTGCGTTTTCATTCAGTCCAAAATACTTTGTAATTTCCCTTTTGTATTCTTCTTTAACCCATGGATTCCTTAGAAATATGTTACTTAGTTTCCAGATATCTGGGGATTTATCAGATAGCTTTCTGTTATCAAATTTGATTCCACTGTTTCAGAGAGCATACTTTTCATGACTTTAATCATTTTAAGTAGTAAATTACCTTTTAAAGATACTTAAATAATAAGAAAAGTAATTTTATATATTTACCATAGTTACCATTTTGTTGTTGTTGTTCTTCTTCATTCCTTCATATAGTTTCATTGTTTTCCTGCCTGAAGGGTGTTACTGTTTCTTATATTTCAGGTCTGTTAGTGATTAATTCTTTCTGCTTTAGCTTTCATAAACTATTATTGCTGGGTACTTAATTCTATATTGACAGATTTTTCTTTTAATAATTTAAAGGTGTTGTTCCTCTTTCTTGCATTGTTTGCATTGAGAAATCTGTCTCAATACCTATCTTTGTTCCCCTGTATATGCATGTCATTTTGTTTTCTGGCTGCTTCCAAGTTTTTCTCTTTGTAACTGGTTTTGATCAGTTTTTATTATTTACTGTACTTGAGGTTCATCCAGGTTCTTGAGTCTGTGGGTTTACAGTCTTTTCACATTTGGAAAACATGGGGCCATTATTTTTTTAGGTAGTTTTTCTCTCTGCCCATCTTTATTCTTCCTCAGTGACTCTGATGACATGTGTATTTGGCCACTTGAAGTTGTCCTTCAGCACCCTGATGCTCTTTTCATTAAAAAAAAATAAAACCTCTCTTTGTTTCATTTCAGATAGTTGCTAATGCTGTGTTATCAATACCTTCTGCACAGTCTAATCTATTGTTAATCCCATCCAGTGCTTTTTTCATCTCAGAAATTGTAGTTATCTTTAGAAGTTCAGTTTGGGTCTTGCTAATACATTGTGTATCTTAAGTCTTTCGACTTATGTAATAGAGCTATAGTAACTGTTATAATGCCCTTGTTTGCTAAGTGTAATATCTGTGTCAGTTCTGCGTTAGTTTAAATGAATTGATTTCTCTCCTGATTATGGGTTGCATTTTCTGTCTACTTTGCATACCAGGCAATTTTTGATTGAATGCCAGACAATGTAATTTTTGACTTGTTGGGTGCTGGATGTTTTTATTTTCCTATAAATATTTTGAACTCTGTCTTGGGACACAGTTAAGTTACTTGGGAACAGTTTGATTCTTTTGGGTCTTGCTTATTTGTTAGGT